TATATATACATGTGTATATGTATGTATGTATATATATATATATATATATATATATATGTATGCGGAAATGGTATAGTGATCAATCACCAAATATTATAAAAGAAAAGAACGCTTATGTCATATAAAAATTACATGTTTACGATAAAATTATAATTAAAATTACATTGCGCCCTTTTATAATGCAAGTTTACAGTACCTACAAATATTGTGATGTAAATATTGCAAACAAAGGCGATAAAATTTAATGAAATTTAATTGAATTCTAAATAATAATTACAATTTTTCAATTTCTTTGTTTGAGCTCATTTAAATTTTTAACTTATTATGGAATATAAAGTTTTTCGGTTAAGAATTAATTCTCTAAATTATGAAATTAATATTTAGAAAATGCATTTGTATTTATCACATGATATTTCTATTCAATTAATTATTTTTTTGTTTTTTGTCAGCTTTTTTATTTTACATCATAGCTTAATATAATTTATATTATATTATAAATGTCAAGATAAATCATCAGCTAAATTAATTTTTTTCATCTCGTATGACGCAAACTTTGTCATAATAAAGTTAAAATTATTATTCTTGTGTACATTTGTAAAATAGAAATATGTTTATAAACATAGATTTGATATAATCCTTATTAAAGAGAATTAAAGTTTTTCAGGATATGATTACGATTAATTTCTAAGAAACCGAGTATTTGCGAGACATCCATCAAACTCTCGTTTACCTCGTTTAATGCCGTGCTAGAAAGTAGAACGAGCAGCGGAGAGGAAGTTGCTCTTCCTCCCTCGATGAATACCTCAAAGGGGATGCTCCGATCGGTGCGCACATCTCAAGCATCACCCCGCAAATTTACACGCCTGTGCTTTCTTAGCGCGTCTTTTGTGCAATGTTCCTTAGACGAGCGTTATTTTCATGCATGTGTGATAAAGATATATATGTGTTGCTTTATGCGAGTTCTCAGAAAAAGAACTTTTTTTTTAGCATGGATACGACAGCGACCTACGTAATACGAGATTATATGTTGCGTCAAGTTTTGCTTGAGAAAAAAAATTATGACCTTCGATATAATAATGATATTTAACAGTGGGGTTTGTATAAAAAAAACAAGAAACGATAAAAAAAGATGTAGTAATGAAAAGAAAAGAGGTGATATATTTTTAAAAGCGTCCTTCAGAATATAAATTTAATGTAACTGATACTGTTTCTTAAAGAGATTTAAGATATTGTTAAAATTAAAATAAAATTTCTTTTAAAAGTAATATAATATAAAAAACATTTAATATAAATAAACATATATACATTTTTTATTTCTTTTATTTCTTATGTATCTGCATATATATATATATATATAAATATATATATACCCCTATTCAATACCTTCTTTTTAGCTTTTTGTTATGCTAAAATATAATAAATCTTATTTTATATAATTTATTAGTGTATATGCGCGCACGTGTATGTGTGTGTGTGTGTGCGCGCGCGCGTGTGGTTAAATTATTTCAAATCTCATACTTGTATCAAATAAAGATAACTTACCATTAGTGAATAAAAGCGGATGTGATCTTTTTATTACAAAATGCTTCAGTTATTCTCCAAAGAATATTCTGAGAGAACATTATGATATCTTATTGACATCTTAAAATATTTAAGATATTTTTAGAAACTGTCAGAAGACATCTGTACAACGTCTTTAAAACGCCTTATGTCTCAAATTATGATGTCCTAAGAATATTTTTTTTCAGATGACTTAAGGATTAGACCTTGAAGTGTTGTTTTGAACGATTTTCAGACATATTATGGAATAAAAATTAATACGGAAATTAAACGTTGATAAGAAGAAGAATACAATGCAGTTGGAATTATCTAATAAATCTGATATATTAACAATTTTATAATTGCACAACTTTTCTAGCAACAAAACTGATTGTAATTGATGGGTCATTTACTTAATTTCTTATTACAGCCTTTTTAAAAGTAGATTAAATTAACTGATATAAACGCTATAAAAATAAAAATTAAAAAAGATAGTTTTCTTTTTCACACATCTTGTTGTTTTTATGTTATGACATTTTATTACTATATTGATTACAATTTCTATTTGTACAAAGTTATATGATCTTATAAATTATAAGTTCTGTTTATATAAAATAATTATTTTATTATATAACCTTGTTTCTTTAAATAATACACAACAAAATACAGATTATTTTGGTAATTTCAAAAACATGTAAAACTACGTCAGTCAATTTATTTATATAGCTTTGCACGATCATCATGTAAGTTCACAAGCATTTCAACGCTCGCGCAGTTATCAAAACAAACAAATTCTAATTAACCGTTTCCACCGGATGTACTTGGAAACTCTTTCAAGACACTGTCAATCGCATTACAAATGTCCTGGAAAACTTCTGCCTCTTCCTTCTCACCGTCGATAACTACTAATCGTTTCTTGTAATACTTAAGAACGAATTTGTTCATTCGACCTTGTTCCTTGATTCGTTTCCAATGTTTATCGAAACTGCCTGTCTCCTGTCTTTCGGTGACAGTGATAGTTCTGGCTAAGACCCTGTCTATCAGCAGCGTATTCCTTACATATAAATACAGGACGAGGTCTGGTGGTCGGATTTGCCTATCAAAGTGCTGACACTGCAGCTTCTCCCTAGGAAACCCACTCAGCAGAAAACCCCGCGTAGTCTTTAATTCCTGTAGCATCTTTCTTATGATAAGTTGCACCATGACATCTGCGGGAATTAATTTATCCTCCGACATTAAATACGCCAGGATAATGCCCCTTTGCGAGCCGGTGGTAATTTCACTGCGCAGTAATTCTTTGCTTATCATGGCGCAGAAACCGTAATGTTTCGCCACGCGTAGACATTGTGTCGCTGCAAGAAGAGAAGTTATTTCAAAATTCCAAAATTTCAAAGTTATTTCAAAATTTCGATATATATTAAAATTTGCTTCTAACTCAAATTATCCTCAACTATCTAATAACAAAATTAACATGCGTAAAGAAATATATAATTATAAGTTATTAGTTTGATATTTTATTATTTTGGATTGGGAATGAAAGAAATGTTAATTTTATTTATTGATTATAATTTTTATTCATATATAAAATTGAAAATAAAAATTTAACAAACATTTTCCTGCTCCCGAGCCTCCAATCAGAAAGATAATCGGTAATCTTGAATCTCTAATCGGTGAAGCATCGAGTCCGACATCTCTTGGTATTACAGCACACAAAGGATCGACAGGCCGCACACAATTTAGGCCCATCTTTATTATTTATAAATACTATTTTCTGTTTTAAATTAGTTTAAAAGTAATTATTAAAGATAGCGTTATTTGGTACTTTTAAGCAAAGTCATATAAATAAAAGTTATACATCTTCTATATGTCGCATTAAAGACTTTGAAGTTGACGCTTTAGATTAGATAAAAGTATTGTGAAAGAATATCGATCTGAAATATATCATGAACATAAAAGCAAGAGAATAGCATAGAGAAGCGTGTAACTAGTCACAAAAAATTCTAAAAATATATGCTTCGAATTTATCTTTAATTCTTTTTATATAATAATAAATTATATCTTCAGTGACGAATTCAAGTAAAAGAGACAAGGAAGTGTATTAATAATAATTAGTTCATTAAATACAGAAACTAATCCGGAGTTAATGATGCTATTTCTGTGACTGGATGTTCGAATGTGGCTCATAACTACATCGAATCTAATCTAGTTGGGTATTTGCATTAAAATACAGCTATAAATAACCGTACATCAGTTATGGAACATCAACAATACGTAGTAATAATTCTGTTATACTATAAATATAATCAAAACTATTAACATATTCAGTTGTAGTTGAATGAATGATGATAATATAAGATAGAAATATAAATACATATTATATAATACTTAACATATAATATAATTAGAATATATATTTTTTATAACATACCATTATAATAAAATAATGTTACAAAATGACGATGATTAAAATTATGTGCAAAAGTGTCCAAAAAATGTCCAAAAGTGCAGATATTTCTTAATTTTCCGTTGATGTTAAATATTTACACATTTAATGCAAATAAAATTAAAAATAAAAAAAGTAATAATTGTGTTTCTTAAAATAAATCAAGTCAAATAATAGAAAAGTGTATTTATTGAGCATAGACTTACATTATTACAATAATAATCATAATCACTGGTGACAAGTATATAATAATGATAATTAATGGCATAGATTTTTTTAATGAATAAAAAGTTATTTACTTAAACTTAATTTTTTTTATAAAACTTTCCGATTTATATCGGTTTGACTAGCATATTAAAAGCATATTATCGACATTAATTATGTTAATCACTGAAAAAGGATGAAAGCACGTCTACAGAAAGATTACGATACATTAGATAGTATAAAACGCGCTTAATAAATTATATGAGAAAATGTACATTTATAAGTTGCTAATTATTATTATATATATAACGAGTGCATAAATTGTAAGAAATAGTAAAAGAATGCAAGGCTGATTTATACGCCTTTCTGTAGCAAAATATCTTTAGAATCATTTTTATGAATTTGAAAGATGTCGTCAATCTCTTGCAAATTTAAAAAATAGTCGATTATTTATTTATTTATATTTTCTAATTTCGTATCGTTGATTATACATTATTGCGTATGTATTATTATCATTCTTTATCTAGTAACTTTATTGACATTACATGAGCACACAGCCTTCTAAAAATCAGCCCAGCAAATTCTTTTGCAAAAAAGAAGAAGCGATGAAGAGAGGAAATCACATGTGAAAAATATGAATAAAAATCTGTATACAACTTTCAATAATAAATACACGAAGTTTATCTAAGAATACGGATTGCTTATCTTATCAGAATTTGCGATTTTACGCTTCGTAAAAAGTACTTAAAATAGAACATCTAAGCTGGTCTTCTTTGTTCTCTATTCTAAATTTCGCGCACGACTCAAAAAGTTTTCATATTAATTATTCTTGTTGATAGTATAGAAAATGTATAACGAGTTGCGCGGTTCTTTCACATGTATATTAGTGGAAAATTTATGTATTTTTGCTCTGTATATATGCATATACATATATATATATATATATAAAGTATAATACTCGCAAAGAGTCGGCATCAAGTCCAGAGATCATTGGTATATTATTATCACGATCATGTTATTATATTTAATTATTATTATATTTTTTCTAAGTACTTTTTTTAATTAAAAAAATTTTGAAGCATTATTAACATAATTACAAAATTTATCAATTTTTTTTACTAAAAAAAAGTTTTGAGATAGTATGTCAACATAGAATAAAAGTTAAATATTAAACGAATTGTATAAAGATTAAGAGAATTTCTGAAAAATATAAAAAAGTGATAAAAATCATTTTGTATTTTTTCACTTGTTGTTATACGCTAACAAATAAATAAGCAAATTTTATCGATTAAGATCCAAATTTGGAAACAGTAAAGCACAGAGCACGTAAGAAATTATTTTTTAATAAAGAAGTTAATATAAGAGCTTTTTTAATTAACATGTTTCTTACCAGAAGCACAATTTAGTTCCATATAAAATGTCTTGTCTTATTAATCAGTACAATTACAAAGAACTGATTGAAATAATTGCTTCATTTATTTAATCATAAATAAATAATATTTTTGTTTAATTAGAGAAATAAAATTATTTCAATTATAAATACAATAAAATTAATACAATAAATGTATTTTGTTTCTTACAATGTTCTCTGGACTTATATAAGTCTTATCTCATTTTTTTCAGATTTGCTTCCCGATTGCAAAGTCCTTTTTATTATTGCAGAAATCCACGAGACATTGAATACTGAGTAAATACATACAATATGACTTTTCACGATATATCGTATGTGTGTGTGTGTGTGTGTGTATGTGTGTGAACATGTGTGTATACATGGTACATATATATATGTCATCATACATCATACATCGTGCATGTGATCACAAATATTTGCCGTGTCCCAAGATTTTCATCTTTCGCACCTATATGTGCAGTTTAAAATTTTTTTTTCTTTTGGTTTTACACTTAATGCAATTTAATTAGTGATCAATTCTATCGATTCAATCGATGATAATTAGATACTTGATCGCGAACAATTTTGCATCGCAATAATGCGATTTATCGCACTTCTTTCAATTAAATGTATTAAGATCTTCAAAAGAAAATTTATTAAAATTTTGTCAAATAATAAAAAAATATTAAAATTAGGATATTAAAATTTATTATATAAATACATTTTATTATTAGCTTTTTCATGTCTATATGACCTCACTGGAAAGAATTATTAGGATTAAAAAATAAGAAAATTAAAAAATTGATTTACTTAAAAAAATAAGAAAATATATTAATAAAATATATATTTTTTTATTACATAAATATTAAATCATAAAAAAATATTATTTTTTATGAGTAAATGTTTACTATTTGATTATTATTTTAACGTTTTGTAATAAAAAAAAAATAAAACTCTTTCCAAGAGTCAAAAAATTAAAAAATAAATGTCTATAAAAAATTAATAATTAAATGTCATATTGTTTAAAAGTTCTGTTCATATTGAAAATAAACTTTGTTTAAACTAAAGTTAAAAAATTTATACGAAATTTATTCGTACACTTCGTTTTCTTCTGATCATTCAAACTTTAATTCAAACTACTTTATTTTTCTTCGCGGTTAAGTACCCAAATTGTTTTCATGAATGATACAAATTTTCTCATTTACTTATATTTATTTTCTTATAATAAATGTTTCATGAAAATGGCAGTGTTAAGAGGATTTCTATTGATATATTTTAAACAGAAATCCTTGAGAGTGTTAGACAATATTGAATAATTCAATAATTCGAAATCTTGAAAGATGTTTTTGCAGAAAAAATACTGCACTTTCCTATAAATTTTCATGTAATACTTGTACCTTGGAAAATGTGTATCGACTCATGTCAGAGATGTCTCGAGACTAATTTTAAATTAATAGAATATTTTTCTATTCTTAAGAACTGGTCTTGGGCCATGCTATCTTGGCGTCAATTCGTTTGTATGCAAAAAGGCAATGAGAGAGCTCTTGTGGGCACTCATGATCTCCGAGCAATGTTTCTAAAAAAAAAAATACAAATGTGACCGTTAGAAATTATTGAATATATTATTATATTATTATATATAATTAAAAAATCTATAATATCACTCATTATCCATTAATTTACTATTAATAACAATGAATAAGTAATATTAATAACTGAAATTAATATAATTACTTACAACTAGTATCAATGTTATAAAAATAATAACAAGGTAACAATAAATGTAAATTTCTGTCAAAATACATGTAAGCAAAAACAATTTTTAAAATTAAAATTGATAAGATAATATTTACTTAATTGTTTAATTATTTACAAATCTCATATTATGTAAATTCTTTTCATAATTCTTTTATTTAAAGATAAGATATATATAATATGTGTAGATCATTTTACATATTATGCTTCATTTTTATATTAAATGCCCTTACCTTCTCCTTGCACCAACTTGAAGAGCCCATAGTCTTGAGGATTTGTGCATCTGATCTTATGCGCAAGAATGCGGCAGATTTCTCTAGTATTCATGTTGGGTCGCACTGGAAGTGTTCTCGTATTTAAGGAACCGTGCAATTCATCTGGTACTAAGATCCGCAATACAGACGAACAGTCTGGTGTCCCACATCCCTAAAAAACAAACAACAAACTTAATAACTTTTTTGCAAATAAATCAGTAAGTTAATAAGAGCATAACGTTTATTTTATTAATTATGAAATTACCCTACTAATTATTGATAGATACTGTACTTCAACTGTTAAGATGGTTGAAAATTTAACTCCTTTTAATATTGAAAACAGCACTTGAATATACAGAAAAATTAATTTCAGAATGCTAATATATTACAACTTTATAATGTGTCTAATGTTTTTTTAAACTGTAAAGTTGAATTTTAATATTAATTGTCCTTATGTGATAAACTATATATCTAAAAATTATTTCTTAATTACAATTTATTACCGAAAAATTTTATTCAGTTTATGAAATACAATATTTATTACTTACATTTGTTGTGGAAATGGTGCTCTGGCTAGACTTGAAAGTCTTTAAAACGTGTACTGCACTCGATAGCGTTGTTAAATAATACCCGCCCTCGCCACTCAAAAGAGAAGCATGCAGCAGACCCCACATGTATTCAGCTTCGATTTCCGCGTCTACCACTTTACCGCGTACCAAAACCCAAATTACTAACGGCAGAAGATCGTCGGCCCCCAATGTAATATGCCTGCCCATGTTAGCTTGTTTCACCTTTAAAATTAAAGAAATCATGTTACGATGATTATATAACTATTATATATAACTATTATATATACTAATTTTATTATATCATTATCTATATAGTAAAATATAATTAAAAAAATTAAAGTAATACTAGAACAAAAATAACATACTTTATAAACATATATATACAAAATTTAACTTTTTCAATTTTGTAATTAAAAACTAAAGTGCTGATAAAGTCTCAAAATATTTGATTAAAAAGTAAATTGAAAAATATTAAAAATATTGATAACATATAGCAATTTACATCTCATATATTTATGTTTTTAATCAAAGAAAATTATAGAAAAACTTACAGAGTTGAAGATGGTTGAAATAGCTGCCAACAAATGCTCCAGTTTTTCAAGTGGAGAGTCGGCTCTCTGTAATCGCTCGATACATTTCAAAATACGGTCCAGACTCTCTTCCGAAGGAGGTACGATTTTCGACTATGCAAAACAATAGAAATTTGATAAGTTCAATAAATTTTGTTTTTCTTCTTAGTTAAATAAATTTTTTTCAAAAAAATATTTTTTTTTCTCTTTGATATTCTTTAGAATTCCCTTTCATTCTGTAAACTTACCGTACGTATGAATCTATTATATTGTAGAAATCTACTCACTTGAACACCAAGATCGTGAATAGTCTTTCCCTGAGCGTGCTGGATATTGTCCGCTAAAGTCTGCAACGCTCCGGTAGCGAAATAGTGCTCGATAAACAGTCGGCATACATGCTCTCGAAGGGGCCTTACCACCAGACCCATCATCACATCCTCGAGAATCGCGTCAAGATTGAGAAATTCATTCGGTCGCAATTTCAATCGTTCCTTTTCCACTTCCCTCTCAAACCCGCGTTCCCCATGCTTCACTAGATAATTCTTCATTCCTGACATGAACTGCCGCATATTGCGCATCACCACATGTGGTATCGCTTCCTTGCTCTCTCGCGTGCATTGAATAAAGTTGTCAATGTTTTGGGAGAAGGTTGTAGTCTTGTCTGCCGCAAGTTGAAGAGCGTAAGCTCTAATAGACGCTCCAGTTCCGTTTGGTTGATCGCGATTTTTCGAAAGTGCTTGTACCCGTGGTGGTGCTGTAAAAAATAATTATAAAGATTATAAAGATTAGATTAGAAA